AGGGGTATTTAACAGTGGGGGGAGGGTGGCAGGGACACACGGAGGGGATGATAAAGGATCTCATCTCCTCGCCTGGTCCCTGTGTCTCTTTTGGGGGGACAGATCGTGTGTGTGTGTGTGTGTGTGTNCTGCTCTCGGCCGCCGCCCCGTTCGAGTACCGGGCACGGGGGGCGGCACGGGCACAGCTGGACTGGCTGGCGCTGGACGGTGAGTGGCGACCCCCCGGAAGGCACCCTGGCCAACGGGACAAGGCACCCCGAAGCAGCTCGTGTCCCCGGGGTTGGCACCCAGACGCCTGGGTTCCTTCTGGGGTCCCACTGTGGTGGCCCCAAGCCTGTCCCTCTCCCCATGGGGTGACGCCGTTTGGGATCAGGGTGTTCAGGGGGGCTCTGGCTGCCAGGGTGCCCCGCTCATGCCCAGGTGTCTCCCCCCCCCCGCCCTCCTCAGAGGCCCAATTCCGTCTGTCCATCCTGGAGCGCCTGGAGCAGCTGGAGACGCGTCTGGGGGCCCTGCCGCCCCCAGCACCCCTTCCACCCCTGCAGGGAGCCCCCTCCGAGACCCCACCTGAGCAGGTGAGGCCCCCCCAACACCTGAGTCCCCGCATGGCCCCTGAAGATCCCTGGTCTCTGACGTCCCTGATGTCCTCTCGTGCTCTGGTGTTGCCTGGCGTCCCCCGTATCTGCTGGAATTCTGTACCTTCACGTTCATGAGGGTCTCCTGATGTTCTCTGGCATTCCCTGGTGTCCCCTGATGTCCCCACTACCTCACCACTGGGTGACCCCTGAATCTCTGTGGTCACTGTCTCCTCACTATCCCTCGCCACCTCTCAGGAGTCCCAAGTTCTCCCTCCCCCCCGTGCCACCCTCTCTGTGTGCCCTGGCATCCTCTTACGTGCTCCCTGGGGCCAGGGGCCAGGGTCATCCTTTGAGGCGCGGGTGGTGGCCATCTGCGAGGCCATGATGGCACGGCCGGGCTGGCCAGGAATGTCGCTGGGGACATCGGGGACCTCGATGCTGGCGCATGGGGTGACGTTCCGTGGCATGACGCTGCTGCACTTGGCGGCCGCCCAGGGCTACGCCAGCCTGGTGGAGGCTCTTCGGCGCTGGCGGTGAGCGGGGACACCTGAGGACACCTGGGGGACACCTGGGGGTGGGGGCTGGTTGGGGACATGGGCTGGCATGAGATTGGGGTTAGTGATGGGCATCCCCCCCCAGCAATGTGCCTAAGCAGAGGTGACCCTCTCCAGGCTGTGTCCCCGGGGGGATGTGACACCTGTCTCTGTCTCCTCCTGTCCCTGCAGGGCACTGGCAGTTGACAGCCTGGAGCTGGAGCAGGAGATCGACCCCCTCAACGTGGACCATTTCTCCTGCACTCCCCTGGTGAGGGGACACTGGGGACATCAAGGGCACTGCGGACATGGTGGTGGCAGGGCTGGGAGTGCAGCAGCACCGTGGGGATGGGGTGCAGGGCGGTGTCTGGGGCAGGGATGGAATCTCAGGACAAGGGATTCCTTGGGGACGCTCTGTTGACACATGGCTCCGTGTCGCCAGATGTGGGCGTGTGCCCTGGGGCACCGGGAGGCGGCGGAGCGGCTGTGCCGCTGGGACCGGCGGGCGCTGGCCGTCCCCGACACCCTGGGGCGGCTGCCGCTGGCCCTGGCGCGTGCCCGCGGCCACCTGGCCCTGGTCACCCGCCTGGAGGAGCTGCAGGTGTCACCCGTGTCCCCACGCTGTCACCTGCCTGGCCTGCGCATCCCCTCCCCGCTCTCTGCCAGCCCCGACACAGGTATGGCCCCGGCACGTTGTTACCCTCCCTGTCCCGTGTCACTGTTGTTACTGTGTGCTGTCCTGGGCTCCTGGTCACCAGCACCCTGGTGTGGCCACTGTCACTGTCCCCTCGATGCCTCTGACTGCTGTCGCTGCCACCGTATGCCCTTCCTGTCCCCTCTTGTGTGCCCCCAGGGCATCACTGCTCCCCTCCAGCCTTTCCCCTCTATGTCCCCCCCATGTCCCCTGTCCTCCCACAGCATCTTTGTGTACCCAGATGTTTTAAGTTCCCCCTCCATGTTCTTCGTCCTCCCCTTCTGTGTTCCTCTGTGCATCACCACGTCCTCCTTGTTCTCTGTCCTCCCCAGCTTCTTCATGTCCCCGCTACGTCCCCGTGGTATCCCCTGTCCTCTCGCCCTGCTCTGCATGTCCCCCCTTCCCCTCAGGGTGTGTCTAAACCCCCTTGCCATGTCCCCCTTGTCCCCAGGGCTGAGCACAGCAAGCAGCCTGTCGTCCCCGTCGGGGCTCTCGGATGGTCCCGGCTCCGTCCCGCTGCCCCCTGGCCCCCCTGGTCCCTCCGAGGATGAGAACTGGGGGGTGGCAGTGCCCCCCAGCCCCCCTGAGGATGCCCTGGCCTCACCCTCTGACAGCCTGCAGGTAAAGGCGGGGACCAGCCGGGGCTGGGGACACCCTTAGTGCAGGGGAGTCCCAACGTCCCCCCTCCCCAGGCCGAGGTGGTGACACTGGCGCGGCAGATCATCGAGGCGACCCCTGAACGCATCAAGCAGGAGGCACCGGGGGGGCCACCGGGGGCACTGGGAGCACTGGGATCAGCAGGGGGGACGATGGGGACACCGGGGCCAGCTGGGCCAGCGGGGCTTGGTGCTGCCATGGCCTGGCTGGCCACGTACCTGGAGAGTGTTGACCGTCCCCCTGCGCCTCCCCACAGGTACTCCTGGGGTCGGGGGATGTCCAGGGGCACCCTCAGATCCCTGGGGGGGGGGTTACTCACATCCAGCAGCACCCCGGGATATTCTTGGGGATCCCATTGCGTGGGACATCCAGTATCCTGTTGGGAGAGTCCTTTACATCCTACGATACTCCAGTGTCTCCATTGCGGGGGGTCTCCCACATCCTGCGAAACCCCAGTATCCCCCTGGGGGGCCATCCCCTGGCTCCCGGATACCGCAGTGTCCTCCTGGGGACATTGCGTGGCGCTCATTTTCCCTCCTGGGTGTCTCCCATCCTCTCGTGGGGTCCTCGCCCCCTGACCCTCCTGTGTCCTGTGTGTTCCCCAGAGCGGAGGTGGCCTCACGGGGGTCCCCGGGGGTCCCCGAGCGGCCGTCCCACCCTTCGGCCGCGGGCTGGGCTGAGTTCCTGAACGCGTCAGGGGGGGCGCGGGGCGAGGGGGGGGCCGTGGCCCTGCTGACCCTCAGTGACCAGGAGCAGCACGAGCTCTACGAGGCCGCACGCCTTGTCCAGGGCGCTTTCCGCAAGTACCGGGTGTGTACCCCCTGCTCCTGGCACCCCAAAACCCCTGGGGGCCCCTCTGGGGCCTCTCTGGCGCTGCTGACCCCCCAACCGCCCTCACTGCCCCCAGGGCCGGAGGCTGAAGGAGCAGCAGGAACTGGCTGCCGCCGTCATCCAGCGTTGCTACCGCAAGTACAAGCAGGTACTGAGGTGTGGGGGGGGCCCAAAATTCCCATGGATGCCTCCTGGGTACTCCCTGGGCACCCCAGACCCCCCCCTAACCCTCTCTCTCTGCCCTACAAGCTGACCTGGATCGCTCTGAAGGTAACAGGGTCCCCCTGGGGAGTGTTGGGGCGGGGCATCCAGATTTTTGGGACTGTTCTGAGGGCTCTAGATGCCTGGAGCACACGGACATGGGGGTCCTTTCTTGGGGATGTTGGGGTGGATTTGGGATGCCCCCCCCCTCTGTATCCCCTGATCCCCCAGTTCGCCCTCTTCCAGTGGATGACACAGGGGTGCTGTGACACTGGGATGACATTGGGGTCCCTATTTGAAGGTGCTGTGACACTGGTGTCCCCCTGTCCCCCCCAGTTCGCCCTGTTCCAGCGGATGACGCAGGCCGCCATCCTGATTCAGAGCAAGTTTCGGAGCTACGCGGAGCAGAAGCGATTCCAGCGGCGCCGGCGCGCAGCTGTGCTCATCCAGCAGCGCTTCCGTAGCCTCCGCCAGCACCGGTGTGACCAGGGCCACTGGGGGACGCTGGGGACACGGGGTACTGGGGACAGAGGGGTCCTCACCCTCCCCTCCATTCCCCCCAGGAGCACCTTCCTCACCCTCAAGCAGGACCAGGCAGCCCGGAAGATCATGAGGTTCCTGCGGCGCTGCCGCCACCGGTACGGGGACACGGCAGAGGCACGGGGAGGGGATGTGGTGGAGGACTGGGTGGGACACAGTGAGGGGAAATGGGGAGCGCTGTGAGGTGAAATGGGGATATTGTGGGGCAACGCAGGGACCTGTCCCCATACCGGAGGTGGGTGGAGACAGGTGCTACTGGGGTGGTCGGGGACAGGTGACACCGTGCGGGCGGAGTCTCGACAGAGCCTGACACCCTCCCCTCCGCTCCCAATTCGTGTTCCCTCGCCCAGGATGGAGGAGCTAAAGCAGAACAAGGAGGTGGACAGTTTACAGACGCGGGGCCTGGCCTCGTGACCCCCCCCCCACTGGGGATCCAGGCACTGGGGGTGCTCCACTCCCCCCCCATGGGGAACCCAGGCACTGGGGGGGCCTCGCTACCCCCCTCCCTGTACCCCCAGGCGTTTTTATGTGTCTGGGTGTCCCCGCAGGGTTCGTGGGGAGGGGAAGAAGGGGGAAGAACCACCCCGCGCCCCCTCACCACTCGCCCCTGAATCCTCCCCCCCCGCATGCCCCACTCTCCCCCGCCCCGCGTGGGCTCTTTGTACAAAGTTCCATTAAAAAACGAGGAAGCGGGAATAAAAGCGCGTGTGTGTGTGTGTGTTTGTGTGTGGGGAGGGACCCTGCGGGGACATTGGGAGGGAGGGGACACCGCTGGGGGGCAGCGGCCACACGCGGCAAGGCCCCGGCAGAGCTGGAAGGACGCGCCCTTCTTTAGAGGCCACGCCCCAGGTGCCCAGGCCACGCCCCCTCCGCCCTAGGGGCCCGGCCCTCCGACGTCCGCTACGCGATGACGCACGACGCCGGGGACGTGGCCCTCGCGTGGCGTCACGCATCGCCCCGTCGCAAGATGGCGGAGCTGGATCTGCTGGGCTCCATCCTGAGTTCCATGGAGCGGCCGCCCGCCGCAGCCGATGGGGAGACGCGGCGCCGGGCGCGGGGTCAGCAGGGCCGGGGAGGGCGCGGAGGCACCGAGGGCGGGGCACCGACGGGGAGCGGCGCGTCCCGGCCCTTCGCCCTCTCACGCGAGGCCGCGCCCCCCGTGGGCTGCCGGCTCCGCCCCCAGCGCCCTGGGCACGCCCTCGCTCCCCTGATTGACAGTGGGGGCGTCTGGCCACACCCCCGCAGTGGCCTCGCCCCTGCCCTTTACCCCGTGTCGCGCTCTGGTCACGCGCCACGCCCGTGCCCGGCCACGCCCCTGCCCCGTTGAGACACGCCCCCGAGATGGTGCTGGCCCCGCCCCCTCCGCCCCCCGGAGTTTTTTTTTGGGGGGGGGTCACCACCGACCTGACCCACCCTGTCCCCTCCAGAACAAGCTGCTCGCATGAAGAAGCTGCAGGAGCAAGACAAGCGCCAGAAGGTCGAGTTCAGGAAAAGGGTGAGTGTGGGGACAGGCAGCACTGGGCATTTTGGGACAATGACACTCCCCACGTGCCCCCACAAATTCTTGGGCCTGCCTGGCCTGCCCGTGTGTCCCTAGATGGAGCAAGAGGTATCCCAGTTCATCCAGGCCACTGGGGAGCCCCGGCGCCGGTTCCAGCCCATGAACAAGATTGAGAGGAGCATCCTGTGAGTGGGGCCCTGGGCGGGCACTGGGGACACTGGTGGTACTGAGAGCACTTGAGACGATACTGGGGACACGGGGGGCACAGTGGTGCCACTGAGGGGCAGTGCTGCGTGTGCTGGGGTTGGACACTGGGGATAGGACAGGAACACCCCAGGATTGCAGCACCCCTGGGACAGTTGGGGACCCTCATGGGGAGAAGAGGGACCCCACTGGGGAACACTGAGGAGCCCCAGTGCCAGCAGTTCCGTGTTCCCCCAGGCATGACGTGGCAGAGGTGGCCGGCCTGACGTCTTTCTCCTTTGGAGATGATGAGGACAGTCGCTATGTAATGGTGTTCAAAAAGGTGAGGGATGGCGGGAGACACTGTGGGGGGGACTGGGGGAGCTGAAGGAACACAGGGTGATGCTGGTGTCCCCAGGAGTTCGCACCATCCGACGAGGAGCTGGAGGCATATCGACGTGGGGAGGAATGGGACCCGGTCCGAGCTGAAGAGCGGCGTCGCCTCCGGGTAGGCCGGGCTTAGTGGGGATGGGGCGGGATTTAATCGAGCTATGGGTGGGGCTCAAGGAGGCGTGGCCAGATGGGTGCGGTCTGTGCCCATAGTAGGGGCAGGGCTTACATTGGTGTGGCGTGGGCTCGAGGGGTGCGCCTGAGTGGGTGGTGCGGTGTGGGCAGGGCTTGTTGCTGACTCCTCACCTGCAGGAGCTGGCTGCACAGCAGGAGGAGGCGGAGCTTGAGCACGGCCCTGCTCCCCCGGGCCCCCCCAACGACTACAAAGACAAATATCGGCACCTGATTGGCTCCGACGCCGCCAAAGCCGCTGCCCGCACCATGGAGGCCAACAAGGCGTACGGCTGCGGTGAGCAGAGGGTCCTGCGGAGCTCCTTAGGGTCTAGGGGCTCCAGGAGGTTTGGGGGTGTCCTGGATACCTGGGTCCCTTCCCAGGAAGGTTTTGGGCACCCAAATACCTGGGCTCTCTGTGGGGGGCTGGGGGTGGGCGGGGGCCCTAAGGGGGTCACAGCCACCTGGATCTCTCCTGTCCCCCCCCAGTGCCAGTGGCCAACAAGCGAGACACACGCTCCATCGAAGAGGCCATGAACGAGATCCGGGCCAAGAAGCGGCTGCGGCAGGCGGAGGACGAGGGCGGGGCTGGGGGGGGCCCCGGGGGGCCCTGTGTGTGATGGGAGGGTGGTGGTGGTGGGGGTGCACCCCCAGGGGTATTTAACAGTGGGGGGAGGGTGGCAGGGACACACGGAGGGGATGATAAAGGATCTCATCTCCTCGCCTGGTCCCTGTGTCTCTTTTGGGGGGACAGATCGTGTGTGTGTGTGTGTGTGTGTGTCCCACTCCCCAAGCAAAGCATGAGTCGGGAGCTCCTGGTACTTTACAAAATTTGGTGGTGGTGGGGGGAACCCCTTTGGTGGGCAGCTGTGGCTCTGGGTGAGCTTGCACCTGGCGGGGTACACAGGAAGGAGGGATCACGAGAGGTGACATGAGGACGTGAGCTTGTATGAGGGTTGTGCATGAGGTTTTCATACAAGGGCTCTCCACTGCATGGCTGTGGTGATGAGGGAGGTGTGCACGAGGCCTTTTTGTGCCTCGTATGACACTTGACACGAGGCCTCTTCCCAAGGAGCCTTTTCCCAAGAGTTTGCATGAGGATTTGCCCGTGCACTCACACCTGGGTGCACGCAATGACTCGAGGACTTCAGCAGAGATTTGCAGGAGGGTTTGCACAGACTCAGCCTGGATGGATTCAGTGGCTGGGATTTTCATGAGAGTTTGTGTGAGTTTGCGTGTGCAGTCACACCTGGTGGCCTCAGCTGTGGGGCATTTGCATGCACCTGGATGGATTCCATAACGAGGGGGTTGCACAGGGATTTGCAAGGGTGCAGGGGCACACCTGCATGGGCTCAGTGCTGGGGATTTGCACGGGGAACTCCACAAGGACTTGAAGGACTCACATCCAGATGGACTTGATGACGGATCCAGTCTGGTTGACCTGGAGCAGGAGGCAGTTGAATGCCTGCAACCTGGACTGCGTGTGCGATGTGCTTCGGGTTGGTCACTGCCACCTCATGGCCCACCACCCCGATGTCCACCTGTGTCAGGAACCACTTCCAGCCCTCACAGTCATCCTGCTCAAAGGGGTCCTCAGCTGACACCACTGTGGGGAAACAGCCACCAGTATGTACTGGATTGCACCAATATGGCCCAGTCACCTGGGGTGTGGGAGAATGACAGTGACCACCCTGGGCACAGCCTTGTATGAGCTGTCAGAGTCCCCAGCTGCCTTCCCTGTGCCTCCCACTTACCCCCTAATCTGTTCCACTTCATCCCGATGCCCAGCAGTGCCTCCCAGTCCTCAGTGTCACTCTCCTGCTTTCCAGTGCCCTCCCAGTGCCTCCCAGTTTCATCCCAGTGCTCACCAGTAGTCCTTGATGAAGCTGTGGTAGAGCTGCTCCCCGGTGCTGAAGCACTGAGGGGGGATTTGAAGTCCAGGTCGTATTTGCCTTTGTCACAGAACCCAGAGGCTGCCACATCCATCCCGATGACCACCTTGTCCAGGTACCTGGCCTTCCCAACGGCTACTTTCAGAAGCTCCAGTGCAGCCAGGGAGCTGGGCCCAAATCCCCTCTGAATCCCCAAATCCCCTCAAACCCCCACCCCAACTGAGACAGAGCAAATTCCTCCTGATGCCCCAAATTGCTCCAGGGATCACAGAGATCCCATACATGGACATACTCAGTGCTGAGCCTTGGCCAAGGGGACCTGGGCATCCAGGCACCATGACCCCCCCGTCCAAACTGCCCTCCTGCCAAGGGCGGATGGACCCTAGTGCCCCCCCTCCATATCCTGCCCTTTCCCACCCTTCTCCCACCCCTCCATGACTTTTCTCCAATTACCACAAATTCATGATGTGACCCTGAAACCCAACCCCGTCTTGGGGACCGTCACTGCCTGCCCTGGGACCCTCTATGTCCCCAACACCCCTAATGTGTTTAACCACAACCCTGAGCCTCCTCCAAGTCCCCACACAACCCCATGACCCCCCCACCCCAGCATCCCCCCCCTGCTCCTCCGTACCCTTGGCTGTAAACATCCACCTCGACTGTGAGATTCCCATGGGAATCTAGGATCTCCTGGACTGCAGTCTTCTGGATGGACAGGGCTGTGGGGTAGGGGATCCAGGAGTAAAGGCCAAGGTCATGGGGCTCCCAGCCTGACCCTGGACTGCACAGACACCCCACCATCTTCCGTGGGGGAAAATCCCATGTCCGAGTGCCCTATGTCCCCCCATCCGATGGGGGACCCTGAGTGAGCCCAGACCCCTCCCTCCAATACCCAAGACATGCGAAGGGGCCCAGGGTGGGTCCGGGCCCTTCTCACGCAGTGCTGCCTCTGCCTGTGATCCTGCCCCTCCCCTGCAGGCTTCCCCCGGGATTATTTATCCCTTTCCCTATGCATCCCCCCCGCTCCGGAGGGACCAGAGTGGTCCTCTGGTGGTCAAATTCAGCCCCAGTTGGGGGAAACGCGGTGGGGCCACAAGTGCCCGGGGCTGGTGGCACTTAGGTGACCCCCCCCGGGTTTGGGACTATTTTTAACCCCCCTCAAAGGTCACGATAACACGACCCCCAACCGGGGAGGCTGGAGCGCTGCCTGAAGACCCCTGGGGGGAATAGCACCAGCCAGAAGAGGAGGGGGTGAACTGGGGGGGACGACAGGATTTTGGAGGTGAAGAAGGTCCTTTGGGAGAGGGAGAATTCAGCCCCGAAGGAGTACCAGGGGTGGGGGAGGGGGGGGACTCGGCCCCATGGGCCCCACAGCGTGTGTGGGGGAGGGGCGGTGGCTTTGACCACTTCCCGGGGAAGTTCAGGCCGGGGAGCGGGGCGGGGCCGGGCCTTTTATGGGGGGTGTGGGGGGAACGGGCACCCTCACGAGCCCTCGACCACCCCAACCCAGTTCTGGGGGTCGTGGCACCCTCGGATACCCTCGGGGGGAGGTGATCCCGACCGTCTCAGTCCCCCCCTTCCCTGTCCTCAACCCCCGAGCCCCTCCCCCACTCCGGGGCAGGAAGTGAAACCGCTGCCCCTCCCCCCTCCCCCCGGAAAGTCCCGCCCCGGTCTGAGTCAAACCGCGACCCACGGGGGGAGGGGCGGGGGTCCCGCACCCCTAGACACGCATTGAACTATCAACCCCCCCAGTGACCCCCGTTCAGGGCTGCCCGTAGGGCCCAGCGCGGGGCGGGGTGTCGCGATAAGGGCGTGTGTGTGTCACAATAACCGGGATTCACAATATAGGGGGAGGAGGCGCAATAACGGGGGATTCGTTATTAGTTTGGGGGGGTGTCACGATAACTGTGGGGGTGTCGCGATAACGGGAGGGAGACGGAATATCAAGGAAGATGTGGCACAATAAAGGGTGGGGATCCAGGTAACGGGGGGAGTCGGAATAAAGGAAGCGAGTGTCGGGATAATGAAGCGATGTTTGAATAACGGGGGGTGATGCGTCGTGATAATCGCAGGATCCAGAATACGAAGGGTTTGGATTAGGGTGGGGAGTGGGCGCAGTAAGGGAAAAGCTTACAGTAGACGGGACTGCGGGGATCCCGGTAATGGTGTGGGCTGGAACGACGCGGGGGATCGCAACGGGCGGAAGATGTCACGACAATGAGGGAAGGGTCGCAATAACGAGCCCCCCCCTCCCCATAGCCGCGCGCCCTCCGCGCCGCGCGAGGCCAGGGGCGTTCCCGCCCACAATGCCCCGCCCCTCAGGCCCCGCCCCCTGCCGTCCCCTATGAAAACGGCCGCGCGGCGCCGCCGCCGCTCCTCCGCCGCCGCCGCGCCTTGACCGCGCTGCGCAGGCGCCGAACGAAAGCCCCCGCCCCTTTCCCGGCGAAGCCCCGCCTGCCGCAGAAGGCCACGCCCCCGCGCCCCGCCCGCCCGCCGCCGCCGCCATGAGCGGGTGGGCGCCCTACGTGGAGACGCTGCTGGCGGACGGCACCTGCCAGGATGCTGCAATCGTCGGCTATCGCGACACCCCCGCCGTCTGGGCCGCCGCCCCCGGCAAGACCTTCGCCAATATCACGGTGAGAGGCCGGGACCGGCAGGGGTGGGGGGGCCAGCGCGCTGAGGCGTTTCCCGCCCAAGCGCCCGGAGGGCGGGGGGAACCCAGTGGCCTCTGAGGGGCGGGGCTAACCCCCCTACCCCCCCCCGCGACGGGCTCCGGGAAGGACAAAAAAGGGAGAAAAACGCAAAAGCGCCAGCGTGGAGCGCAGTGGGGGGGGGCTCCGGCGCTGCCCATGCCCGGGGACCCGGTGCCGGGGGAGGACCGATCCTGGGGGGGCCCTGGAGGCGGGGGAGGGCTCGGCGGCGGGGCAGTCCCCTCCTTAACCCCGCTTCGAGCGTTTTGGGGGTCGCAGTCGGGCAGGGAAGGGGGGGATGGGCGAACACCACGTGTTTCGACGACCTCCCTGGCCGATTCCCATCTATTTCATTGCAGTCCCCTCAGCGCATGGTGGGGGTCTCGTGGGGAGGTGGGGGGGTGGAGGAACCCCATCCCACTTAAAAACCCTCTAAAAATGCGCGGAATGCGGCCACTTCCCGGTGGAGGAGGGGCGGCCGGGGCTTCCTGTGGGGGAGGGGCGGCGCGCGCGCACCCCCCTCCCTCCTCCCCACTTCCCCCCACGGAAATGGGGGGGAGGGGAAAAGTTTGGGGAGGCCGATGGTGGGAAAGAAGGGCTACCGAACCCCTCATCCCTGTCTGGGGTCGCGGGGGGAGTTACGGGGCTGCCCCAGGGGCCATGGGTCACAGCTTGTGGGTCACGGGGGACTCATGGGGGTCCCCGGACGGCTGGGCCACCCGAGGGACTGTGACAGGGTTCATGGGGGTTCCCGAACTTGAGGTCCCGATAGGGTTGTCTGAGTTAAATGTGGGGCCCCAGGAGCTTTGTTTGAGGGGTCCTTTATGGGGGGCTGATTTTGGGGTTCCTGATCTGTTCTCCCCCGTGGTAGCTCGTGGGAGTGTCAGCACTGGAGGGTTCCGAGTTTGGGGAGGGTTATAGGAGTCCCTGGATTCTCGGGTCCTCTTGTGGGGTGCTCTCGGGCATCAGGGGTCACACGTGGGGTCCCAGGCAGGACGCGTGGGGGTCTAGGGACACCTGGCTCCCTTTTATGGTCATGGAGCGGGAGTTATGAGAGTCCCTGTTTGCCGAGTGCCCTGCAGAGGCCCTGCCTTGGGGGTTTGGTTTCTGCATTTGGTTTTGGTGGTCCCTGGGCCTT